CCGCCATGTAGAGGGGCAGGTTAAATCTGTCGAGGCTCAAAGTCCTGGTGGCGTGGCTTGGAAGTTCGGAAAAGCGGTGCCAGCTCAGGTGTCGTCCTCGTCACTTGACTATGGTTTGAAATTATAAGGTCCATCGCCAAAAGCCCTCGTGCAGCTCTATAGTGCGACGTTAATTTTACTCTCATTCACTCCGCAATGTCACCCCGAGCCAAAGCAATTGCCCACCCCTGATTCAAAATAATACGTAATACTTTTAAGTATTACGTAATTTTTGACCTGAAAATTGATATATTTTCTACATAAATAAGTATATATATGTTTTTAAAAAAAACGGGGTTCAGTTTTTAAAATGATTTTGAATCCGTCATTTTTATCATGCGGGGACTTTAAACTTTTCTCTCTCTCTCTCTTTTCAGTTCAGTTCTCCTGTTCGACATTTGTGCCTAGGATTGTGTGTGTGTGATTGGGGTTTATGTCAATATTATTCTGGAAGTAACGCAAAGAATTTGAACAACACACCTCACGGTCAAGTGACGGCAATGGCATCTAAACTAGTATCTACGGCATGCTTAGAGGGGTGGGGGCGAACTAAACAGTTTTGATATTGTGAATAAATCTTGCCTTTTTTAATCCCCCCCTACTTTAATGAAAATTTTGCACGGTATGAATTAAACGAAGGTGTTGAACAGTGGCGTAACAAATAATATTAGGGACCCCTGCAAAGTCAGGATTTGGGCCTCAAGCCGTACTGGGCGTCAGTCAGGCTTTGCCCCTCCCTGCGATCTGGGGGTGAACTTTACGCGTCTGCTTTATGGATAGGTCTTTTCGAATACTAAATAAAAATCTGAATTAGGAAGTTTTAAAAGGAACAAAATAAATCACTCATTTGACAATATTTTTTTAAAGATTAATTATATGCATTGTAATTCAACGAAAACATTTTAATCACTTCAAATGTGATAATACTTCCCATCTTTTTGTATTTTTAAAATAATTGTATTTCTTTTTTTTTATTATTACATCGTAAAATTTTAACTATCCTGAGTTGTAAAAAAATTTCAGTAGTATAAAAATATTAGCCTTAAATGCGCTTTTTTTTTTTTTTTTTTTTTTTTGTTTAAAAAAACTAGTTTCTCTCTGAAAGTATTTTTATGAATGAACTTGATCTAATGAATGGCTGTGTGCCCCAAATCAGTCTTCCGTTGTTATTGATGTAATGGATGTCGAGGAGGGAAAGTCCCAGTGGCTTCCATATTCACTACTGCGTGGCGGGCTAATCGATCAATACTGACCACAGCCTAGAAAACTTTTTTCAACTTGATGAAACTTTAAAAGCTTCCGGGGGGGGGGCTTTCAGGGGGACTAAGATATTTTCTGTGGGAAAAATTTTGATGCATGATCTTTTTCTACCCCCAAATGAGTTTCTGCTATAAAGGCATACATTGTAAAAGGCATATACAAATATTTATTTACAAAATAATCACTTACACAGTGTAGCCGTGGTAACCTAGTTATAGAGTCCATGACTATAACTAGATTACCACGGCCACTATAACCTAATTATAGTCATAACTCGTGGCCTGCGTGTCATGATTTTGAGCCCTTGTGCCACTGAAAACTAGGGACTGATGCTATGTCGAGACTCAATCTTTCCTTTGGCGTGGTGTGGTGGTGGTTCGGATGAACTGTCTGCTCAGTCGTATTCATCACTTAACCGTGGTTCAAAATTACGAGGTCCGCCGCCCAAGAACGTCTCAAGAATTCTTGAGGCTCTGGGCCCCAAGACAAATGCAGGCTTCACACATACCCTTTAAAAGTAGACAGTACATAGCATGCGTTGTCAAATACTCGCACAATCAATAACCCGTAACAAATAAACGTGCATGACTTACAATCACTCAAACCGGTTCGACCGATTGCCACCTATTGACTGAAGGAGTAATGATGGTGTACGCCTAGGTACATGGACAACAGTCATTACATGTAGTCAGTTGACATGTCCGAAATTCCCAGTTTTTCGAGAATACAATCGGAAAAAATGTTTGACCGTTGTAATTATTCCAATCATTATCTTATTAAGGCGGAGTTGCGAACGAGTCGAGATCCCCATTATAGCCGAGGCCTGGGCCCGGGTTCTGTTGGCTTATGCCTTAAGACGTCCTGCCTCCCTGCCAAGTGTTGATTGATAGTGCGACGTTAATAAACTCTCTCTCGCTCATACTGTGTTTTTTACGAAACTAAGTAAAAAATAATAATTTAACAAAAATTACGAAAAAAAATATGCTATGCCAACGCAGCCGAGCTTCTATCGAAATTGGACTTGAACTCCCTTTTCGAGCATTGCCGATTTTAAAGTTCTCGAATGGCTATGGTAGCCAATTGGTCATGGTCGCCAACTAATGGCTATGGTAGCCAATTGGTCATTGGACTCATCTTCTTTAACATTTTGGACTCATCTTCGGTCTTTTATTTTTGTTTATCAAACTGAAGAAATAAGGCCAGTTTCCCACAAGGACACTTTTTGCCGGTCAACTCGTTTTTTGTCACCCCCTCCCTCCTTTAATGTGAAGATGAGAGAAGATTCCTTTCACATACAGGCACAGAGTTGACTGAAAAAGGAGTTCCGGACTCATCGGTACAATGAAAAAGCAATTAAAAGCTTTTACCATTTTCAAGACACAAGTAGCCGCGTGTGAAGAGTGTAGCTTCCACATTATCCTTTTAGTTGAGTCAGCTAGTAGAGAGGATAATGTGATTTTTTAGAGCTTCACAGAAGGGTGTCAATCGGCCTTATGTGAAGGGACCTAGACAATTTCTATTCAAAACTGGCTCCCGACTGTCTTCTCCTGTTATATGCAGTACATACAGGGACGTAATGTAAGATGTGTTAATAAGTTTTGATGTGTGTGTTCTTGTCAATGTTAAATTTTGTATAAGGTAGATTTTCTTGCACAAAACAAAAGTCAAGCCAAATTAATTTTTATTTGGGTTCTGAGCTTTGTAAGAGTAACCGGCTGGGGGGCGTGGTTGGTTTGTCGCTGGCCTTCTACACCTAAGGTTGCTGGTTCGACCCCGGCCCAAGTCAGTGGATTTTCTTGAAGCAGAAAATTGACAGCGGCCATGTCTTATGATTATACGGCATGTGAAATATTCTTAGAGTGTCTGTTTGGCTTGGATGCTCTCGGCAAAATTAAATCCTAGTACAAGTTCGCATCATCAAGAGCTCAAGTGCTCCCTCTGTGGAGGAAACTGAGCGTCAAAATTGCAGTGGCCTATATGGTGCAGTGCTAAAAAGGGGTACCAGCTCCTGGGGAATGTACTAGGTCTGCAAAGGTTTAAAATACCAATGCGCAGCTCCATTGAAAAAAAAAGCTTGGTAAGAGTAAAATGAGATGATTTATTTGAAATTCAAACCATGCTTTTTTATTAGGAGCAAAAAATTTCTTCTACATTTTTCTCAGGCAAGTAATATCTGTATTCAACTTGTATTTTTCTTTTACGAAGTGTTATCTCTTTTTTTAAAAAAATGTAGAGAATATTAGGTTTACCGGAATATAAGTGGTTGAAAGCTTATATTCACTGTTTACTTTGTTTTCTATTTAAAATGTGGGTTATGTTTGTAATTTACTAATTCTAGATATTATTTATATTTACAGGAGCATGGAATAAACTTAATATCATCTAATCGTCGCTATAGTTATAGTATTTCATTTCAAAATGCCTTCAAAACTGGAACAGATGCAGTTGCAATTCAGGCAACGATTGAAGGAAGAGCAAATGATAAAAATCCATACTGACAACCAACAAAAAGCCCTCAGCAAAGTTTCAAAATACAATGGAGTCCACACTACCACAGTGCAGACTACCATTACGGCACCGAAACCCCAACCAACCATAGTTCCTCCACAACCCCACCATTCTCCAATCAAGAAGGGCAGTCCAGGGGTGGATAGATCTCGACCACTTCCTCCGATTTCTAAAGAGCCAAGGAATGCTTCAAGCAGTCGTAGCAGTCCCATTGGTGGAGCTTATGAGAATGGATCCAAAATATCCATGTCCTTCAATTCTAGATCCAGGTCTGTTGATCAGGAACAAAGGTATATATCTTCCAGACCAGTTCAAAATGGCACAAGAGTGCCACCAAAAAATGGGTTCAGCAGACCTTTGAATTTTGAACCTAGGCAAATGGAGGATCCAGAACATAAGTTGCTGATGAATCCAGAACCTAAACAGATGATTGATAATGAGCCCAATCTGTTAATGGATCCCGAACCCAAACTATTCATGGATCCTGAGCCTAAACTGTTTATGGATCCTGAACCTAAGCAAGTGGTGGATTCTGCGCCTAAACAGGTTGTAACACTTGAACCTAAGAAATCGGTAAATGTTGAAACCAAACCAATGTGCCAACCAGAGAAAGAACATGTAAAAAAGGCTGAAGTGATACCTGGAAGAAAACTTACGCAGGAAGCGAAGACGAAGTTGAAACAGGCCGAATTGCAACGTCTTAGAGCTAATACGAAGGTAAGTCTTAATTCAATCAATTTTTTTTAAAGTATTTTTTTTTTCATCTTTCTCTGAATTTACAATTAAATAAATTATTAGTTACCAATTTTTTTCAAAAAAAATCAAATTCCCATTCAAGAAGTTAGTAATAAATTTTACAATTTACTGAAATAATTAACAATAGTTAAAATAATAGAGCAAATTTTATAATTACAAGTAATATAAAAAAAAACTTTTTAAGTCAATTCCTTCTTAGGTCAACAAAGAAAATTTTTATTTTAGTTACTTTTAATTAAATAGTAACAATTTTTTAATATGTATATACATATGACAGAATCACACAACATTGACAAAATAGAAAACGATTTTCCTTGCAATTTTCCTTTCTATATACAGTGTTAGACTATTTTTTGTTACTGTTTATTCATTAATTGAATTAAATTATTCTAATAAAATAGTATAGTAAAAAGAAATCATATTCTCAGAAAATAAGCCATCCCAGGTGGGAGTTTGAAACCATAGCCTTTGGATCAGATGTCCAACGCGCTATCCATTGCGCTACAGGGAGACAACGAACGATTTTCCTTTCTTGTGGGACTATTACTTTTTTTTGTTACAGTTTATTCATTTTTTAATTTTATTAATGAACTAGCCGTTACCCACCCGCTTCGTTGGGTATTTCAAGATATTTTACAAATATATACTGTTTATATATATATATACATAAGTTATTGATATCTAAGTCCTAGCATTAAGAATTCGATTGTATTGAAAAATATACTTATGCCTGTAACTGTCGCCTCTTGATAAAAAAAAAGGGCCAAACTTATCTAATTTGTATTTTCTAAAAATTTTTGAAATTGATGTATAGAATGATGTTTACACTTTCGTAACCCTTTAACGAAGTGGATTTTCGCAAAACCAATTTTTGGTGGATCTCTACTCCGTAAAATAAACACGCAAGCCAAATTTCAAGTCTAAATCTAACAGGAAAAAAAATGAAATTTTTACTATCAATACCCCCCCCCCCCCCCCCCGTAACCTCGTTGAGAGTGGTTTTCCAAAATAATCGTTCTTAGCGGATTTCAATTCAACAAAAGAAAAATGCAAATCAAATTTCATTATTATAGTCCTTGTAGTTCGAAAAAAGGAATTTTTTTTGTCAGTAAGCCCCAGTATTCCTCTGCTCCTCCAGGAGTTGATTTCCGTAAAATACATTCTTATTGGATCCTTATTCAACAAAAGAAACATGCTTAACAAATTTAAAGTACAGGTCTAACAATTCTGAAACAGGATTTTTTTTCTATAACTCACCTTGACCCCTCTCAACCCTCCTTGGGGGTCGATTTTTGTTTTACTCTTTGTTAGAGGAACTCTATTCCATGAAAGGAACATGCCAACCAATTTTCAAGCAGGTAGATCTAATAGTTTAAAAACGGAAGTATTTATCTATTATGTCCCTTAATCACGCGAAAGGGAACTTGGGGGTTAATTTTCGCGAACCCCATTTTGTAGCGGTTCTGTACTCAATGAAAGGAATCTGCTTACCAAATTTGAAGGACTGTACTTCCAGTAGTTTAAAAATGGAAGTAATTATCTATAGCGCCCCTTAAGCCCCGCAACGATACTTGGGGCCCAATTTTCACGAAACCTATTTTGTAGCGTATCTCTACCCTATTGAGAGGAATCTGCTTACCTAATTTCAAGACTGTACGTCTAATAGTTTAAAAATCGGAATTTGCTTCTCCCCTTAACCCTTCCCCCGCTACACCCCTTGTGTGTCAATTTTGCCCCAACCCATTTTGTAGCGGATATTTACTCCATGAAAGAAACATGCCTATACCAATTTTCAAGCAGGTAGATCTAATAGTTTGAAAACTGAAATATTTATCTATAACGCCCCTTGCGCCCCCCCCCCCAACGCAACTTGGGGTTTGTTTTCACAAAAATCATTTTATAGAGGAACTGTACTCTATGAAAAGAATCTGCTTAGCAAATTTGAAGACTGTGCGTCTAATAAATTAAAAATTGAAAATTGTTAACTATAACGCCCCTTGAGCCCCCGCAACGTCATCTAGGGGTCGATTTTCAGAAAAGACATTACATTGGGGATCTTTAATCCATTAAAGGATTCTGATTAGCATATTTCTAGACTGTACGTCCAGTAGTTTAAAAATGGAAATAATTATCTTTAATGCCCCTTAAGCCCCGCAACGCCACTTGGGGGTCGATTTTCACGAAACGCATTTTGTAACGTCTCTCTATCCTATGAGATGAATCTGCTTAGCAAATTTCAAGACTGTGCGTCTAATAGTTTAAAAATTGGAATATTTATTTATATCTCCCCTTAACCCCCCACCCCGCAACACCCCTTGGGGTCAATTTCCCCCAAAACCCATTTTGTAGCGGATATTTACTCCATGAAAGAAACATGCCTTCCAATTTTCAAGCAGGTTGGTCAAGTAGTTTGAAAACGAAAATATTTATCTATTACGCCCCTTAATCCCCCGCAACGCCACTTGGGGGGCTGTTGTCTCAAAATCCATCTTGTAGCTGATCTCTACTCTGTCAAAGGAATCTATTTATCAAATATAAAGACTGTGCGCCTAATAGTTTAAAAATGGAAATAATTATCTATAACGCCCCTTGTGGATCGATTTTCACCAAACTCGTATTGTAGCGGATCTCTACTCTATGAAAGGAATCTGCTTACCCAATTTCAAAATTGTACGTCAAGTAGTTCAAAAATGGGAAACAATTATTTATAACGCCCCTTAACCCCCGTTACACCCCTTGCGGTTCGAATTTCGTAAAATCCGTTCTTAGCGGATCTCTACTCTATGAAAAGAACATGTCTACCAAATTTCAAGTCTGTAAGTTGAATAGTTCCGGAGATATCGTGATTAGTCAGTCAGTGAGTCGCTTTTCTCCTTTATATATATAGATTAATATTTGAAAAATTGTATTAGCATCAAATGTCAATTTTGAAGTTTTCATAAGTTGACTTTAGAACTGCGATTTCTTAAAAAAAATCTTTTAAACGGCCCATCTCAAACATTGTTTGAACAAAAGAAATTATATTATAATAAATCTGTGTGTGCTGCGGCATCAGGTGGACGCAGTAAATGAGTGCTCATGGTCCCGAACTCGTGGCCAATGTTGTCAAGCCACTGGTTCGTGTCCTAGTACCACAGAAGACCCGCAGTCTGGATGAGTAGTGCACGTTAAATATGTCGGGGCTAAGACTCCTCTCGTTGGCGTGGTGTGGAAGTTAAAAGAATGGTGTCAGATGTCAACCGATCATGGTTCAAAATTACGAAATCCATCAAAAACAGTCCCATCATTTGGCTTCAAAGTACGATGATAATAAACAATAAATGAAGTGTATACACAATTTTTTATTTACCGTCACTTAAATATTTCCACAATATATTCTTTTGCCGCCCATCCGGTATAGTGGTCAGTGAAGCTGTCTGCGGTGCCGTAGGGACTGGATTCGACTCCCGAAGAAGGCATGGATGTTTGTGTTGTAATCCTTTCTTCTGTCTGTGTTGTATGCCCTTGTGTTATACATTGCGTGGTGTGTGCACGGGGTTTATAAATGTTAAAATATATATATATATTATTTCTAATGTTTAGAAACTTGAAGAATAGACAATCTTAGACATGTGTTACAGAGTTTCCAATACAAATTCTATGAAATATTTAACGATTCGTGGGCGCTTGTTTTAATCCTGCGTTTCTCAAACTGTGGGGTGCGCCCCCGCCTAGGGCATGATAATTCTACGAGGGGGGCGCGAATATATTGAAAAATCAAAAATAAAAGACTATATTTTTTTTAAAATTAATTTACTGAAAGTAAACAAACAAAATACATTTTGACATAAGAAATAAAACATTTACACTGATATAATACACTTACAAACGTATCAGTACTGCACAATGTATTTTATAATTAATTTTTTTTAACTATAGTAGTTAAGAACAAGTTTAATAATTACTAGTTGGTCTCCATGGGTTGTCATATATAAAATTATATACAAAATTAACACTCATCGCGATAATTTGTACGGTTTACAATTAATCAACTAACTGCCGATTAAAAATTAAGCGATTCTCTCCCCAATGCCATCGTTTTCCACGTATGCGCGCGCATGTGATGTATTGAAGACATCACAAACATCACATACGCAAACACTGTCAAGGTCCTTTTAATGCATTCCAAAGCCTTCGGAATAATTTTATGGGTGGCAGTGCACATAAAAGATCGTGCTTCGGAGAGACGTATATATACGTCCGTGGGCAAATAATGTTTTGGGTGAGCGAGACGTTTATATACGCCAGTGGCAAGAGGTTAAAGTAGAATTGTGTTGCCTTAAACGGTCAAAGCATAGTATTATTGAATTCAATACATTGTTATTGTATGAAGGGGGTGGGGAGGGACGAAAATTATGATTGAATATTGGGTCGGCAATATTGAAAGTTTGAGAAGCACTGTTTTTATCTGTCAGACCGCTTTCTTTTCTCCAGATTCTAAATTAAATTATTTAGTCAATAAATGTATCCCTTCTTATAGCAATAAGAAACTAATAACATTAGTATTAAAGAGTTGTATTACTTCAATATTCTCAACAATGCTGTAGATGTAACTATTCTTGCTTACTCTATATAAGTGAAACATTTATCTATCAAATCCCATAACTTTTAACACATGCCACAGACAAACGGATTGTGTTCGAAACTTAAAACAAAACTGAACGCTTCAACGATTTTCAGATTTTGATCTGGTAAAATACACATATCCTTTTCCATTTAAATAATCTAAACTTCTCTTATTTTTCTGCCTGACCGCTATTTTTCTAATTTCACCCCGAACAGGTTTCTAAAATGTGAATGCCCTCTCTCTTAGACAAGCAGCTTTCTCATGCACCATACGCCTACAATTCTTCCAGACTATGCTTTTGCTCATGAATCTACACAACTGCAGACTGAAATTAGCTTTTTTAATGATATCCGCCAGAATGACTATCAATTTGCTTGTTTATGATAACGCTAAAAACCATCTGGCTCTTTGGCGTGTCTGTTTTTGAACTCGCACACCCCAGTAAAGAAGATGCAAATTGTGTGTGTGTGTGTGTGTCTGGTCTTTTTTAACTATGCGTGGAAGTTTTAGAATTCGACTTATTTACTATCTGTCGAGTGGATTGGAAGTCGAGACAACCGAGTTTTTTGTCGCGGGGAAATTTATGGTGTTCAGTTTGTAACTTTTCGTTTCCGATTTGCACGCGAAAGTGCTTTGACATCTATTCGGAAATTAAGAGTTCAAGAGTCATTTGCATGCGGTGGTGCTTTGAGAGTTCATGAACAATTCTTCAAAAAAAAAATGTAGAAAATTTTTGAGTATTAATTATAAACAGTTTGGATTCGAAGTCAGAATAGTGGAAATGGCAATGTATTCTTTCTGAAATAGATTAAAAATAAAGCGTAATAAATAAAAATAGATTATGATAATAAGTAAAGCAATTATAAATCTTCTATTATACGTGATATTCAGCAAATTTAATACAT